CGCTGGAGCTGCTCCCCGCCTGCCCAGCGCAGAACGGAGCGCGGGCGGGGATTTAATTACCCTGCTCGGCGGCTCAGAAAATCGCCCTGCAGAGGAGCTGAGCGGGGCAGTTAAGCAATGCTTGAGCAGAGGCCTCAGGAGATCAGCACCGGCCTCCCTCCCCGCTATCCGGGCCTAAAGAAAAAACGGAAAAGGGAGCCCCGCCGGGCTCCCCGAGGCCCTGGGATTGCCGTCGGAAAGGCAGGCAGGCCGGCAGCCGAGGCCTCCGCTTGCATGGGAGCGCCTGCGTTGGACGCGGGACTACTGTGTTCTCCCGGAGGAACGAACCCGCCTGGGAGAGAACAGCGCGGCGCCAGGCAGCAGGACGCCCAGCTGACCAATAAAGGGACTGCTCTGCAGCCTGCCTGTGCCAGACAGACAGACTGACACCAGCCAGACGCCTTGTTCACTAGCAGCGGGGACCACCCTATCACTTCTGCCCAAACAAGCGTCTCAAGGAGGGTCAGGGAGCCCTCAGGAACCGCAGGGTCGGCCTGAGGAGGGCAGATCTATTTCCGTTCAGGGCCTCGGACTCCCAGGCACCTTCAGAGGGACACGCTCCCGTTTTTGTTTTTTTGGGGTTTTTTTTGTTTTTGTTTGTTCGGTTGGTTGGTTGGTTTTTTGTTGTTGTTGTTGTTCGTTCTCAAGAGTTGTTGCGAATGCGGGGCAGCTGCCTTTGGATCACTCTCGGATGTTGCATGGAAACAAGATTTCGCGAAGGACCGGGAAAGCACAACAGAACTGAATTTTCTGACGCCTTTGCACGTGACCCGAGTTGCCCCCAGCGAAGTGTGGGTCGGCACAACCCGAGATCCTTTTGCTGGAGAGCTGGGGAGGAGGGATCCGAAGCCTGGTCTATAGGGTCTCACTTTCCGGGGTCGGGCTGTGGCTGCCCGGGTTTTACCGGCCCCACGTAGCCCTTTCCTGGGCGACCTTTGTTTAAACTTCTTTTATCAAAGGCAGGCGGGCCCTCTGGGACCATAAGTTTGCCCTCTTTGTAATCCAAGTCTTTTTGCCTTTTCCTATGGGCACCTAATTCGCTGGCAGGGAGAGGGGGTGGAGGGTTGCGGGGTTCAAAGAAATCCGTTTGCTTAGGGACTGCCTTCTATAGGGATATTTAATTTGCAACACAGCGACCTCCCAGCCCCACACCAGCAATGCGTCTTGAGGGGTACTGTGGGGAATGGGGGGCCTCTTTAGCCAGAGGGGCTCACAAGTCTCCTCTGGTCAAGGCCTCAGCCTGTTCAGGTCACTGCTGTCCCTCCAATAGGGAAATCAGGGCTCCAACAGCCCCTACTGTTCTTTGAGCTTCACTTTCAGCCCCCAAATCTGACGGCGCCCTCTGCTCTGGCCTCCATGCTGGCTCTCTCATTCTATCAGTCTTCTGGGCCCCTTTGAATCGCAAGGATAGAAGCCCGATGTTCCGAGGGCTCAGCA